AAAATTTAAATTTGGTAAAAATTTATTTCTTTTGTATTTTTTAAAAATTCTTTTTTAGGAGACAAAATGAGGGATATAGGATAAGATCAAAAGGAAATGTAAGCACAACTGACAAATATAATGTAAATACACACAAGAAAGCCATTTCCAAGTAATTAGTATAACCAATGTAATAATAAAAAAAAGCTGTTTCCATAGAACATGTCAACAGCCAAAATCCTGAAGAGTTCCCGTGTCATGACCAGGATATATGAAGACATCACCATATGGTCTTTGTGCAATTTTGACACAGACAAAATTTACTTTTTCCTAGCAGATGTATGGAGGGTTATAATATGTACCATTGTTCCATGCTGATTTTGTACCTGTCAGAGAGATTCCTTGACTTCCTCTTCCAGTAATATAGCCACCAGGTTAGGAAGTAAGGTAAAGGAAATCTCTCCAACAGTGACCTAGACAGCAATAAAAAACAAAATACAGGTGTTTGCTATTTACAGTATAACTGCATGCCTCATATTTGACAGTGCTACAGTCTGGTTCACAATATGGGGTTACATCCTCAGTGTAGAGATGATTGATGCAGCATATCTGAGACAGCATGGGCCCGACACCAGGCTGTGGATATGGGTGGTACCACCTGTCCTCTTGTATGGGGCCAGGCCCCAGCAGGGTGGTCCAGGTAGCTGGGTGAATCAGATGTGGGCAGGGAGGGCGATCGGTGTGTTGGGGGAGGTGGGGGTTGTAATTACTGAAACCAATCCCCTGTATGGCTCTCTCTGCAGCAGACCAGCAATTGTCTCCTGCCACACACCCATCACCCTCCCTGTGCATTATACATTTCCCCCTACTGCCCAGACCCCCCCCCCCCATGCCCCCACAGTGCTGGCTGACTTCCCTCTCTATTTTCCATTGGCAGCTGCAAAGCACACAATTATGGATGCTTCAGGATAGAGAGTGGGGGGAAGGGTTCAGTAAATAAGTCACATTTACCAGACCTTTCCTGAATGAACACAATGAGTGATCAGTACCAATCACTTACTGAGTTCATTCATAACTGAATCATTGTAAACTGTGTATTTGTTTTTGGGGGGGATGGGGCTGTCTGGTTGGCTGTGTGGGGCCCCATGGTTTCTTAACAGCAGCCTGAGCATTGACATAGATTATATATTGGATATATTATTCCTGCACAGAGCCCGTGCTGCAGCCGAGGGGCTCCCATGCATATGTGTGGATAGTGATGTCATCGCGACTTCAGCTATTCATATGGTCGGAGCCTGCGAACCCGGAAGCAATGTATACTAGTACATTAAGACTAAACCTGCAGGGGCCCATTGCTTTTTTTTTTCTTCTGGCGGTTTACTACCGCTTTAAAGTAATGTTAAACCTTCAGTGTTCTTTAGACTATGCGTTTGGATCTGAGCATCCTCTCCTGACTGCATGTCAAACTTTGGCATGTGATTGTGTCTGTT